AATTGGTTATCGTTATGAGTAAGTACAAATGTGATAATTGATGCGGATTAAGTCCGCCATTTTAGAAGAAGAAATAATTCATAACAATTTTCAATAACCCACCATCCCACCCACATTCAGTATTACATTTTTGACAAGCTTATAAACATCAAAAAGGTTTTGTGTTTGTTTATAATTTTTATATACAAATGATTTTTCTTTTCACTTCAAGATATGTGTGTATATTAATTTCATACACAGTTTTAGGCAAGGCAATATTCTTAGAACCCAACCTTTGATAATTTTTCGGGATATGTGTGTATATAATTTTTTATATACATTTTTCAGAAATGTTTGCTTGCTTTGTATACAATTTTATGTTATATTATAACTTTCATATCAGCATTGTTTTATATGTTTATATGTCATTTATTATTAAATGGCCATTTCACAATTTTATGTTAGTTTGATAACTTTCATATCAACATTGTATTATATGTTTTTCCGTCATTTATTATTAAATGGCCATTTCAATTTCAAAGTGTAGTTGTTATTCTTGAAAATTATCAAACAGAGAAAACTTCTTCAGGCAAAGATACAACAAATTGAAATGTTGACATAAATGTTTATATTAATTTAGCTTATTTACCTTTTCACTCGTTGCAGACTTTTTCGTTATGTACACATCTTCACTTCCGACCAAATTCCAAGGTAAGTCCGAAAATATCGTTACTTGATTCCTATTTACATGTATCAGAGATAAAGAAATTGTTATAGATAAAATGAAAAACAAACATAAACATTTGATGCATCTTATTGTCCTCCTCGTTGTCATTTCAACAAAACGATAAAATCAAACAAATAAATCCCGACAACGCGAAATTGCAAGTTTTTATCTATATTGTAACTATTTTGTTGTATTTGAAAAACATTGTTTTTATTCCAAATCTAAAATCCGAAGATATATACTTCTATATCTATTTTAAATTGATGGTTAATCTTATAGTTGTCTTAACAAAACGTTGTTCTAGGCATCGTTTATCATGAACGATCTAATACACATGATAGAAGAGTGAATATTGGGAAAAAACTGAAAGTTTTTTTATATGACATAGTACAGTCGCTGTTATGATACGTTCAGAGTTTTCAATATTTCCAATACTTTGTATCCAGATGTTTATACTTCACAACAGCAGGTGCTAGGGGGCATGAGGAATGTTGCACGTATTCATTATCCCTCATGTACAGACTCAATCAAACCGAGTCTGCAATTCTCGTGTAATTTTTTTGTGATTAATGCTTCCGAGGGATCACTTTGTTTCCAGATTTTATACTTCACAACAGCAATGTCAAGCGCTGTGTGGCAGCTGTAAAAAGTTGCCCCGTATAAGTTCAGTGTTGTTATATTTTTCTGGTCGTTCGGGATCATTGATGCCAGCACTATTAAGTGTTGAGAATTGAGTACCGCTCAAGCCGGTGCTAGGGGATGTGAGGGATGTTGCACCTATTCATTATCCCTCATGTACAGACTCAATCAAACCGAGTCTGCAATTCTCGTGTAATTTTGTTGTGATTAATGCTTCCAAGGGATCACTTTGTTTCCAGATTTTTTTTGTTTTGTTTTCATTATTAACAATTCGTTATATTTTCCATACATTACCATAACATTTAATCGATATTTTTTTGCCAGTCTGTTATTGTATAATTATATTCATTTCATTCCATTTAAAAAAATACATTAAATCTAAAAATTCATTTAAGTTCTTGTCTCGGTTTAACATCAGTAGAATTAGTAAGCTAAGAAAACAGCGTAGCTTCTCTAGCACTTATATAAATAAGAATAGTTACAAAATTTGAACATAATATAAAGTTAGACATTCATATTTCAAAATTATGATATTTTGTTTGAAAAAATTGATAATGAGAATTTCGAACCAACCTTTCTGGTCCTTCAGAATCATTTAAACATTTGAGTGTTGGGTTCGTATACTGGTTGAACAGGTGCAAAGGGGTCGTGAAAGATGTTGCACATTCCTTTACCTCTTCGGAATTGACTAAATAAAAAACAATGTTTTATTGGATTCAAGTTGTCTCCTCTTTCCAGAATTTTTTCACAGTTAATAGTGTTCATTTTGTTTTGTTTATACGTGTATATTAAAACTGCCATTTTGTTCGAATAAGATGAAACTGGGAGGTTTTGAGCTTGTGGGCAATAAGTTCCATTTATTTTATTTTTGATTATAATGCGTAAATTGATAGCAAAATACCTTATAATTCTAACACTTTTACAAATCGTGTCAATAGTACCTATTATAAATACATGTACAAAATGTATATTTAAGTGCTTGTTATTTATTTTGATATCAAAATAATTGAGATATAAGAGATAAATATATATCATGTTTTTCTATTCAATCATGCATGCTACACGATATTCTGTGAGTAAATTTATTAATTTTGGGAATAATCTTACAAAATTGATTAAAACAAAGAGCACCGTAAAGACGCGCTAAATGTTCGCGTTGTACTATAAACGTGTCAATGAAAAAACATTTATTTTTTCCTGTAAACAGTTCTTATTTAGGTATGTGATAAATATAGAATATTACATTCGTGCATCTTCATTTCTAAATTTATCCAACTCGTTAATAAATTCAGTAATGAATCCACACTCACTCAGTATCCTCTATGTATTGTTAGTTTATTGTATTGTATGTCCTTTCCCCTGAATTCCCGTTATTACCACCCATTACTCCCATCATCTCCCTCCTCCGATCGTTCATTACCTATATACAATTCTTCTTGTAATTTAATAGTACCATTAATGTTCTCATCATAATTTCCTACAGTTTTCCATATTAATTTGTTAAACGTTTTATTAGCATTGACTGCAATGACGCTCACATTAAGCTTGCGCGCAAAAAGCATTACGAAACCGGGTTTTTTTATACGAAAAACAAACACAATGTATTAAACGTGTGTTTGTGCAACAGCTCCTTACATGTCAATGACACCAGATCAAAGATAAGGATTCGGACGGAATGACTGGCGGACTGCAACGGGATGGGAACCTCTTAACATAGAGATGCTGATGATTTTGGTAAATGTGTTGCGTGTTTCTCCAACTCCAATCACAGCTCTTGTAAAACAAATCTACGTGTAAAACCCCATGAATTAAACGTTAAACTTGAATTCCCTACTTTTGTACAGGGTTAAGGACATTGTATTTTATTACGCAATTCATTCTTATATTTGCATACGGGGACACTATTAAACCTCGATTTGTGTAATGAAGGAAAATAAAATCAGTTGAATTATTTGTTTAGTTTATTTCATGGATGTTAGTTTTACGTGTACAAAGTATCATTAATTTACCTGATATTGGAAGCCGAATAGATGTGTTCAATACATACTGATATGAGAAATCTTGTTCAAATATTACCCTTAGTCAGGTGAAAGTTTCATATCGCCTCTTTGAATAATGATAAAATAGTAGGTTTGAACGAATATAGATGAGGCCGTGCTTGTGGAGGGGTAGTTAGCTTTATATAGCAAAAATCTTATATACAGCCAAAATTGTATTTTTTTTCTTTCATTTTTTAATTATTTTTGATTAATCTTTGATTTTTAAATTATTGATATAGTTAAATCAATGAAGATTTAAGAATCGTCATCCTTATATTTTTATACATTTGTTTAATTTAATTGATTTCTAATTTTAATTTAAAACAAATCTTACATACAGCTAAAATTGTATTTTTTTATTATTATTAATCTTCCTTTTTATAATTATTGATGTAGCTAAATCAATAAATATTCAAGAATTGTCACACTTATATTTATAAATTTGTTTCATCTAACTTATTTTTCATTTTTATTTTTAATGTTGCTTCAATATGACACTAATTCTGGTTGGTTCCAGGAAGCGGACTCGAAAGAGATTGATATAAGTTGCAAGAACTTGTTTCGCAATCGAGCTTAAATGAATATGTTTATAAAACCTCGTTTTACATGCCAGTGTTTCAGGTATTGACGAGAAACGGGACCGCAGTTACTGAAGACATTTAAAGGATGCAGACACGGCGAGGAATAAATTGCTTAGAATGTAAGCTTGTGCTAACCTCTGCGGTCGTTAAGACACATTTTGATTATCAGTTTCCACAATACCATTTTAATAATACTCATAATCTGAATTTTTTTAAGCATATGACGTTGAAATCAAAATTACATTTTGCTCATATCATTGATTTGTAGGTAAAGCTTATTTGCAGATGTTGATAAAATACAAAAATATTAATAACTGTAAAAATTATTTATATGTTCTAGATAATTGTCACACTTTATTAGTATGTTGAATTAGCTGGCATATTTACATATTGTGACTTCGTTAATTTTATAAGATTATAATTTGTAAAAATAGCTGGGAAAAGGGGATCCCTCGGAAGCATTAAAAACAGCAAAATTACATGAAAATTGTAGACTCGGTTTGATTGAGTCTGTACATGTGGGATAATGAAAAAGTGCAACATCCCTCAAGGCCTCTACCACCGGCTTGAGCGGTATTCTATTCTCAACACTTAAAAGTGTTTGACTCAATGATCCTGAAGACAAGAAAATATGTAAAACGAGGTATTGTATGGGTGAAAGTTGGAAATATTTATTTTTCTTATTATTCTTCCTCTTCAAATTATGATATAAAACCACAAACCTCGGCGGGGCCTCGTTGGCTTTTTGTTTTGAATGTTTTATGTGAAGGAATGTATTTATCATCGTTTAAACAGTGTCCACAATATGCCCAGTATCAGCGACTGGACCCACACCTCAGCTCGTTCACGCGATTAATAAACTTCTCTTTGTCTTTAATTCTTACCGAGGGGATAAGACTTCCATGGGCATATTTATGCTTATTTCGTATAAAGTGCTCCCGTTACAGTGCCACTGATGTCTGATCCACTGAAGAAGTTATATTGCAAATCGCTTGGAATACATTTATAAGACGGTGGATATATACACGTTTTACTTATGAGTGACAGAATGGTATATTCCGTAACAATGGACTGAATTCAAATAAATTAATGCGCTAATATTTTTTGTGTGCAAAACTGAGTAAAACGAGATAGGAATACAAGTGAAATTACACAACGAGCAAGTGTTGTAAAAAAGTAAGAAAAAGAGTATCGTTGTAAATTTTAGATCAAAATGTCAAGATTACATAGAAAGGGACCGCCAAAACATTTAGAGAGAACACTTTTTATAAACCACAAAGAGGACCTAATGCTGGATGATAAACTTCATAATTTGACTTTAAAATCGAGAATGAGTATAATGGAAATGGACAGAGAACGGATTAAAGTTAGGAATGAGTGGCGGAATAGTCGTAAGAAGCAGATCACTATAAATGAGGCAATATCCGGTGGACTTCTGCCATCTGGCGATTTCTCCGTGTCCGGTGGGTCACCAAATCCTGCTAGGAAAATGTCTATGTTTCCAAACATGCAAGCAGGTTCTAAACGACCGTCTTTATCTGTGAATTTTGAGTCAAACAATAGGAATATATCATCAGCTCCTGCGCATAGAAAAACTAGTGACGCATCAAATACGCAGACTCCTACATTATCACGAAGTACGTCATTTATACCACAAAATGGACACACTCGAATTTCCACGACAAATCAGTTTACTAAACAGCCGGCAATACCGGAAGCAGACGAAAACGGACGAGACATAATGAGTAGACGCGGTTCTGAAGGTTCAGTGGGAATGTATGTCCTTGACGAATTTCAAAAAATGTCGGAAGTTGTGCCTGGAATATTGCGAGCGCTTGCAAAGAAAAAAGAACAACAGCTGGAAGCAGACGAACGTGCAAGATTGCGTGAAATGAAACATGACATAAATGTTGATCTAGCTATGGAAAATATACTTGATTATGAACCGGATATGAATAAAGTACGAAAAACTGTAAGTTCTGTTAAGAAACTTAGACATAGGATGGCGATCAGTAAAAAACTAGAAACATCTAAACCGCAAAAATCATTGGATCAAATGATTCGGGATAAAACGGACGATACGTATGAGTATAACGAATATACAGACGGGACTTGCGCCTTAATGAAAAGACGCTTGGAAAAGAAAAGACGAGAATCAGCACCTTTTGTAATGGACCCTGCGTTTATGCAACGTCGGCAATCACTTACAAACAGTAATGCAGACGGAGAACCAACTCAGAGGCGTGGCTCTGTGGCGCTGGACCAGATGAGGCGTGGCTCGACTGCAATGGCACAGATTCCTGGATCGTTGACACGTAGCAGTACAACACTTAGTTTAAGGTCAATGAACGAGTCGGATGAAGATTCAGCTTTTATTGATGAAGATGTTTTAATGAAAAGACAAAGAGTTATGGGAGAGCTTCATAAATATAGGTCTTTGAAAAGTCGTGTTGATCAGTTCTTAATTGCTAAACCAGAACCTGTGAATGCTGTTCTTGAAGAAATCATACCACTGCAGTGATATAACAATATCAGAAATGAGATATTGTGTTACAAAAATAGGATACAATGTACTTTGTTAAATACATTTGACAAGTTATTGAAAGACAACTCACTGCAATTGGTTGTTATTGTTTTTTTATTATCATTGTTGTTTGTATTATTTAATGTTAACATGTTTTAAACGCAATTTGTAGTTGAAAGTGGAAATGAATACATCGAAGCAAAGATATAATAATAATATGATCAGTGAACTCGCAAATTTAAGATATTGAAAATGATATTCTTCGTTTTAACGGTGATTAAAATACATATTGGTGATTCAAATACATATTCGGCGTATCTTGGTGTTCGGTCCACCTAACTGGCTTTCCTGGATAACTAACCAGTAATTAACATTTTTTCCAAAAGTGACTGACTATTTATATCACATGATATCTGAATCAGCGTTGACACGAGATAAATAGTCACGGAGAAATTCAGCCTTGGTAGCAGATCAAACCAGTGTCCCTTTTGCTCTGCCTACTGAACTTTGTGGGCGGACAAAAATCATAATACCCATAAGAGTAATTAGTCTGGTATAAAACGTCGGTGGTTTTACTCGTGTGCCACTTCGTGCTTGAAATAATGCACGGAAGGGCTCCTTAGGTCTTCCTCCACCAGTAAAACTGGAAAATCGCCATATGTCCTATAATGTGTCGGTGTGACGTAAACCCCAATCAAACAAGCAATGTGGTATAAGTAAATAAATAATACCTTGGGGGGGGGGGGGAATAAAATAAAATTCAAAATTTGGTCCAAGTTGCATTTAATTTTTTTGTAAGTTTGTACAAAACTAGCTAAAGATTTGTTCTAACTAACACAGAAATTCTTTCAACCTTTCATTCAGTATCATACATTGACTTTTTTCCATACCATGTAAGGGGTTATGAAGATGTAGTGAAGGCAGATGACATATGTTTGATCCACGTCATTTATAATATCTTTAAGATAAACCAGTCATTAATGAATGATCAAATGAGTTGGAGATTTACATTTTGTGAACACAAAAAAAACTATTTTAGTGCCATACAATTGTATACTGGCACGAATTTTTCAGTCGTTTCATTAGTTTTTTTTATTGAAAATATATTGCCTTTTTAAAGATATACTATGCTCATCTTCGAGTACAATATTTCAATTATAGAAATTAATTGAAATATATGAAATTCTTAATGAATATGTCTAATTTGAATAAAAGAATGAGTAACCTATGTATGGGAAGCTGCGTCAAGTAAAGTTGGTCTAACTGGCAGTCTAACTGGCAGTTTTTTAATGACACTATATTTTCATATTGTGACCATCTATAGTGTGTAGAATTTTCATCATAACATATCTACTTGGTGTAAAGCCAGAACATGTTTATCTTATAATTCAAAAGAGACTGTGTAGCAATTATGAATATTTTTAAATATCAAATTTGAGTATAGTATACCTTTAAATAAATAAAAATATTGCCATGAAAAGGTTGTCTGCAAGGTACCTTGACAATAAATGCAACTAAAATAACTTTTTTTTTGGAAAATAAAAAAAATATGATTTATTCAATATTCAAACAGAGATACTTTTACAAAATAAATGAGCCCTGCCATGACAAAACCAACATAATAGGTTTGCGACCAGCATGGTTGCAGACAAGCCTGCGCATCCGCGCAATCTGATCAGGATCCATGCTGGTCGCAAACACATTATGTTGGTTTTGTCGTCACGCGGCACAAACGTCTTACATGTAATGGAGACTACATACATAAATTGACGATGGTATTTTGTTCTATTCTCAATTGTTCTAATTTAATGAATTTGATGTTGTACTATTTATACTCACTTTCATGCATTTTTGCACGATTTTCACATGCTCTCCATTGAAAATTTCATATATACACACAAAAATAAAAATACACAAAAAAGAAATGGATTAAATTATCACACCTAATGTACAATGTATATGTAAAATATTTATAACATTTACGATAATATGTATAACTGATTTACAACATTTCTCAATCACATTTTCTCAACTGGGTGCTAAACTAATGTAAATATGTATGAATATATATATTATATTTACATCAGTTTTGCACCTAGGTATCATGTTTTCATGACGAGAATATAAATACTGTTCAAAATTCACACAGACTTAACAAAATTTAACACAGTTATAAACAGGCAACTATTAACAGCTATCTATAAAATAATTAAACTTTACAAATTTACTTATTCAACCTTAAATATGTACTTTGTCAGAACAAAGCACAGAATACAGTACATTTAACAAAGCACATATTCATGCTAATGAACCCACAGAGATGTACATTACAGATTATCTCCATGGATACCAGTAATATTCATAATTTGGGTCAAGTGCATTGACCTTAACCTTCAACCTGCTAACTTAATGTAATGACCTTGTATACCGATAATGGACTTGCCCACCTTTGAATTTGGAACAGTCCATTCAAAGTTTAATGGATTTCAATACCAAAAATACAAAAATTGAGCTACCTATAGTATAGAGCCTGATTGTACAGCTGACCTGGCTCTAAACTAGGGGGTAAAGGCCAATCACATTTGGTTCCAGCAGATCAAAGATTAAATATGTCAAGGTCACAATCATTACAGATACGAAAATTCATGTCAACAACTCCTCTAACAGTTTTGACACACAGTATTAGGACAACTTGTAAATATACATGTACAAGAGAAATAGCTCCTATTAATTTCCAAAATTAAAATACACAACTAACCAAAGTATAAAACGGAATTAAATTACTCTTTTGTTGCTGATCTTTACATTACATAAGAACTGGTTCAACATTGTTAACTGTTAAACTCTGAACTTAAAACAGAACAAAGCTTTTCTGATAGCATATATGTGGAAAAAACAAAACAACCCAGGGTCCATAATTCTGCTTAAAACAATCAAATCACAAAACCTTGACAATATGCAGCAAGATATTTGATGTCAATAATTATGTAAAAGTTTGGTTGACAGACACCCCTTGATAAATGTAAGACAAGTTGCACACAGGAGATATTATTTATGACATTGTGCCTGTCAACTTGACAACATACACCAATCTATTATCCAGCATTTTCCTTAGGATAACGGGGTTAATAAAAAGGAAGACTGCTTTCTCTCTCGCTCTTTCTTTTCATAGAAAAAAATCAGTAAATTGAGGAAGTAACTTTCTCACAGCAGTCGATTTTATATATGACAATTATGACAAAGTTTTTAACAAATACACTGTTTTATACCCTGTAAATAATCATCATACCAACGAATTTCAGTAAATAAACCAAAACTTACAAATAAGAAAAATGTTTTTAGACACTATTTCTGAGATCAAGGATTTGACTGTAATTAATCATTTTACACCACCTGGTTAGGCTGTATAGGTTATTCTAATCACTTTATATTTCAAACAGATAATTCTCTAGTTAACAAAAATCTATTTTTCAATATTGTAAACACTACAGTCCGGAAAATTAAAACAACATAATAAAATTCTAACTTTACTACAAATTATCAGACTTTCCCTTCAAAATTTGAAAAAACTGAAGATGAAAATAGCACAAGACTAGCATCACCATACTTCTATATTTTCAATGAATAGCTCACTAAACATCATCAATAATTACAGTTATATTAACAATCATGCAAGTTTACACCAGGGACCTTATATTGTGTGGGTCATATTAAAGATAAATGAGCTTTAACTTTAGTACATGTCATTTATTTTAGTTGAGAGCACACTCAATGTCACTCAAAGTCAATTTCAATGGATGGAAAAGTCTCAAACAAACTTTACAATGTTGCACGGCAGGGAAGCAACATTCCGTGGACGGACATACAAACAGACAAGTAGGATCTTGACTGTATCAGCTTAGTTATAATTAGTTAATACAACAGATGACAAATCTTTCCTACCCATATATGATAGCATCATGGTATGGCATAGCAATTTACATAACATGACCGTTTTTATTTTCTTAACTCGCTCTTTTACTAAAACTGAAATTAGAAATTGACCAACTGTGATCATCCTTAAACTCTTCTCTAAACTGTATTTGTATACCGTAACACATGTATCTAACAATTTTACTGATATGCATACCATTGTATCATGTTTATCTATTGTGGCAAAACTGGAGATAGTTACTGAACAATATCCATCTGTTGAAGCTCTTCAAAACAATCTGAACAATCTGTAACATCAAACACTTAAAACAGCCTGTATTCATGACAATGAACAGGGAAATAAAATATTGATTATAAATAAAGCAGCATATAGCAGTTATTATAGAGGCCATGTTGTATACTGGTTGATTTAAGCTTTATATAGCATGACTGTGAATAAATACCAATATAAATATGATGTGGCCCTGAGATAGTGATGGACTTTTGTCCTAGAAGAGTTTCTCAAGCTGAGTTATATCTAATTGCTGCATCTGCCCAAAAATAGAATAAGCTTGTTCAGCTCATCTTAAACTCTCGAAAACTGATTTTCCATCGATGTACAACCAGCCTGTTCTGATGGTTAAAATTAAATATATCTCTGAAGGGAAAGTGATTTCGGTTGATGATGAGAATAATAGCTCGTATTCTAAATGTTTGATTCCAATTTCACCTAGAACAATAATAGCAAATATGCTATGTTACATAATGGCCCTTGATAACTGGTGGCTTGTCAGGGTGTATATATTTCAAAATTGAACAAGAGGGCCATGATGGCCCTGAGGTCGCTCACCTGTATATAGGCCCCCCAACACCCCCCCCCCCCCCAACGTTGCAGGGCCAATTTAACCCAAGGGCTTTTATTTTTGCACAAACTTGGTAGACACCCATAAGAAGATGTTTCATGCTAAACATCTAAGCTCTAGCTCATTGGGCTTTTTAAAAGAAGATTTTTTTTAAGTTTTTACTATACACATATAGTTAAAAACAATGACACCCCTGGGGCCGGGCCAGGGCTTTTATTTGAACAAACTTTGTAGACACTTACTAGAAGATGTTTCATGCTTAATATCTAAACTCTAGCTATTTGGGTTTTTTCAAAGAAGATTTAAGTTTTTGCTATACACATATAAAGAAAATCAATGACCCCCGGGGCCGGGCCAATTTTGACCCCAGGTCTTTTATTTGAACAAACTTTGTAGACACTCACTAAAAGATGTTTCATGCTTAATATCTTAATTCTAGCTATTTGGGTTTTTTCAAAGAAGGTTTTTTAAGTTTTTGCTATACACATATAAGGAAAATCAATGACCCCCGGGGCGGGGCCAATTTTGACCCCAGGGCTTTTATTTGAACAAACTTGGTAGACACCTATTAGGACATGTTTGATGCTAAATATCTTAGCCATAGCTCTTTGAGTTCTTTAAAAGAAGATTTTTTAAGTTTTTACTATATGCATATAGGGAAAATCAATAACCCCCTGGGGCGGGGCCAATTTTGACCCCAGGGCTTTTATTTGAACAAACTTGGTAGACACTTATTAGAACATGTTTCATGTTAAATATCTTAGCTCTTACTCTTTTGGTTCTTTAAAAGAAGATTTTTTAAGTTTTTACTATAAGCATATAGGGAAAATCAATGACCCCCTAAGGCGGGGCCAATTTTGACCCCAGGGCTTTTATTTGAACAAACTTGGTAGACACCTATTAGAACATGTTTGATGCTCAATATCTTAGCCATAGCTCTTTGAGTTCATTAAAAGAAGATTTTTTTAAGTTTTTACTATATGCATATAGGGAAAATCAATGACCCCCCAGGGCGGGGCCAATTTTGACCCAAGGGCTTTTATTTGAACAAACTTGGTAGACACTTATTAGAACATATTTCATGCTAAATATCTTAGCTCTAGCTCTTTGGGTTCTTTAAAAGAAGATTTTTAAGTTTTTACTATATGCATATAGGGAAAATCAATGACCCCCCGGGGCTGGGCCAATTTTGACCCCAGGGCTTTTATTTGAACAAACTTGGTAGACACTCACTAGAAGATGTTTCATGCCAAATATCTAAGCTCTAGCTCTTATGGTTTTTTAAAAGAAGATATTTAAAGTTTTTTCTTTCAGTTGCCATGGCAACCAGAGTTCTGCATGGAATTAAATTCTTTGAACAATTTTTAAAGGTGACCACCAAAGGAACATTCCTGTGAAGTTTGGATGAAATTGGCTTAGTGGTTTATGAGGAGATGTCATTTAAAGTAAAAGTTTACGGACGGACGGACGACGGACGGACGGACGGCGGACGAAAAGCGATCACAAAAGCTCACCCTGTCACTTTGTGACAGGTGAGCTAAAAATCAAAAGCTAAATTGACATCATAGTTAAATGATAATGCGTTCTATAGAGGGGTGTGACTAATACCAGCTATAATTTTAGTTTTATGTATTTGTATGTAAATGAAATGCCTAACATAGTATTCCTGGTAAAACAATGTATACAACTTTATTTTTTGCTGAACTTCCAATTTTTCAGGTTATTATTCATTAAAATTAAGCTGACAAAAACATGAATAAATTATTAACCATGTAATGTAATGGTATTACATTGCAGCAGAGAATTTTTGAGGTAACTACATCAGTAAATAAATAATAATAAGATATTTGTACAGTGGGACTCGAAGAAAAACAAAATCTGGCAAAATGAAATGTTACAACACAAGTTATTTTCCTCTTACCTAAAACATATCAACGTTAAAAAAACTGACACTGGCTTATAAAAAATGAAAATAAAAGATAAAATAATTGAGCCGCGTCATGACAAAACCAACATAATGGGTATGCGACCAGCATGGATCCAGACCAGCCAGCGCATCCGTGCAGTCTGATCAGGATCCATGCTGGTCGCTTACCAAGTTTATTACAAGAAGAGAAACTGATAGCGAACAGCATGGATCCTGATCAGACTGCGCGGATGCGCAGGCTGGTCTGGATCCATGCTGGTCGCAAACCCATTATGTTGGTTTTGTCGTGACGCTGCTCAAATGAATAAATATATTTCTACATATACAATTAAGCAGTTTTGAATTTTGAACCTTCAATCATTTCATTAGCTTTTTTTCTGTATAATAAATAAAGACAATTATACCATCATTTCCATTATCAGCAGATAGTCCAACACAACTGTCAAGAGTCAAGATAAATTGCCTTCTTGATAACTTGTCCTCAGCATATATTCACCCTTTTATTTATAAATGACCTGAGTGCTTTCAAGTAGATGTCAATGCAAAGTTAAGATTTTTGGGGAAAAGTAATTAATACAATAATATCAGAATAAGACTTTCCTATTTATTTTTCAAATGATTTTTGTACTCCTTGTCCCAGAAGTAAAGTAAACACAGAGAGGTGAAGATATAGAGGCTGGACAGACTTAAAAACCTTTTCTAAAACTTGATATTGATAAACATTTATTTTACAAGAATCTGATCCACAAATCATTACAACAGAACTAAATTTTTACATGCAAGAAGACCGATACACTATTTCAGGTAGCTAGAACATGCTATTAATAATCTCGACAGATAAATCTTTCAGTCTGACAAATCAGCTATATAAGATGCAAGACACAGAGACCGTCCCCTATAATTTTGAATATCAACTTGAAAGCACTCTGATACATGTATATGACATGATTAATTAAACATTGGCCCCTAACAACACCTTTATAAACAATTTCTACATTTTCTTCATTGTTTTTCCCCCAATAAGCTCTTATAACTCAATTATCTAACATAAACATTAAACCTACAGATTTGTTACAATTAAAGAAAACTTATCTTAGTGCAAACATAATCTCTGTAGATTTTAAGATAATACAGCAATTCAAATAGGTCTGACTGAGGGGATTCTATTTAGATAGGCCGTTTTATAAAGTGAATGGTATCTTTATGCATGTGAGATTGAAATTATTTTGTTCTAAAAATAATAAATTCTCTTTGATTGTAAAATAAAACAGCATATTTGAGCCGCGTCACGACAAAACCAACGTAATGCATTTGCGACCAGCATGGATCCAGACCAGCCTGCGCATCCGCACAGTCTGATCAGGATCCATGCTGTTCGCTATCAGTTTCTCTACTTGTAATAGGATTTGTAAGCAAACAGCATGGATCCTGATCAGACTGCGCGGATGCGCAGGCTGGTCTGGATCCGTGCTCATCGCAAATGCATTTTGTTGGTTTTGTCATGGCATGGCTCATTTATTTATGTGATTTAAAAAGAATGCTTTCTGTCTATGAAAAATGAACCATAAATCTTTTTGTTCAAGTATGATAACTATAAAATTTTCGAACTAACATAAATATTGAACAGGCTCTTTGTTCTCTGAATGGAAAAACTGTTTTATTTCTCTCCGACAAAAGTTATATTAATACCTATTTACTGGTGGTAAAAATTGGGTTAATATTAATCATGCATTTTTATTGTCTCAAGTATACAATAAACTTGTGACAGAAACGTACATATTACTGGTGGTTAATATTGACCATTTTTTAATATTGGGCATTTTTTAATATTGACCATTTTTTAATATTGGGCATTTTTTAATATTGGGTATTTTAATGTCTCAAGTATACAATAAACTTGTGACAGAAACAGACATATTACTGGTGGTTAAAAAAGTTGGTTAATATTGACATTTTTTAATATTGGGTATTTTTAATGTCTCAAGTATACAATAAACTTGCGACAGAAACATGTATATAACATCAAGCAAAAATATCTAACAAATAGTCTGACAAACATCACATGTAAAATTCTCTAGAACTTAAACCCTTCCAGTTGTCTCATGAACTTGCTTTACTTTGAAGTCGGAACTTCCAATTGTTAAAATATTTCAATAATAAAATATTCAAATAAACTGTCAGAATGTGGACAAGATATGATTATACACCGATGATATAGACATTTCAAAATAGATGGTTTTCATGCAGCATGCATTATCTCCCTTGGGTGTTATTTTGAGGTTCATTCCCAATATATATTATGCATAAGATAAAATCTTGAACAATTCCATCATCTCCATGTAAAGTTTGATACAAAAAAAACTTTTTGATATTGCGCTTTAATGATGTTTTACTTCACATAATGTAAAAGAATAAGGACTATTTTCCTATATCTTTTCCTTCAATACTTGTGCTTATTTTTATACTGTGTTAATTATTCATATTGAGAAATAAACCCCAAATATGACTGCCACTTTTGTCTATGATGGTAAATATTGTAAAAATCTGGGGCTATCTTATGCTAACAATATTTTCAGTTAAGTATAAGATGCTGTCAGTTACAAGCTGATAAATAGCTTTCTATTCACAGAAAATAAACTTTCATTTCAGTGAAGTCTGTGGTTCAATTTTACAGTTTGGTTAACACATTAGTAATATAATTTGCTCAATTTACAGACAATTTGTTCACTTATGAAGTGTAAAACCACGGAGTGTAAAACTCACATTCAGTGAACTCTCAGTAGACCAGAATGTATTCTTCTAATCTTCAAGCATGAAACAAGAATTCAGTACAAGGATTGAACTCAAAGTGCTAATGTTAAATTTACAACCAACCAATTACTTAAGTTAAGCCAAGTGAAGTATATGGAAAAACATTTCCCTTTTACCATATCTAAATATTTAATTTCTTGAAAAACAATTTACAATTAAAAACTACAACATCAAAGAAGGTTTACTGAGTACGGAAAACATCTGACAATATTTTCAACTTGACGTGCCCATATATAGTACAGTAAAAAAAATATTTAATTTTTAATAACATAAACTTATGGATACTTTGTAAAAAGGGAGAGGCTGTGTAATAAAAAGGTAATAAAAAATATGAACTTATTTGTTGATGGAATCATAGTTGTATACTGTGTGACAATGTGACCATTACCGTCCTAGGTCAGCCAAGCATATACATGTTGTCTGACCTGGGCCTATACTGTCGACAGCACATTATCAAGATGTTTAAAATCAATTTTTCATCCCTTAAAGTAACAATGGAAAGTTCCAAATTCAAACTGGGCAAGTTCATATACATACAACTTTAGCCATGTAAGGGTTAAGTTTATTCAGTTACATGACAGCTCTGAAGAACCCTTGTATCTAATGTCAACAGCAAGTTTGTCAGTTTCCGACAGCATACTCTAGAAATTTGCACTTATACATAATTTCATTAGTACTGTTAAAAATAAGGTAACAGGAATACCCTTGCCACGTATAAAATATATATGAGCCGTGTCACGACAAAACCAACATAATGTGTATGCGAACAGCATGGATCTAGACCAGCCTGCGCATCCGCGCAGTCTGATCAGGATCCATGCTGTTCGCTTACAGACCCTATAACAAGTAAAGAAACTGATAGCGAACAGCAGGGTTCCTGATCAGACTGCCCGGGTGCGCAGGCTGGTCTGGATCCATGCTGGTCGAAAACCATTATGTTGGTTTTGTCGTGACACGGCTCAATTATCAAAATGTCTTGTGTAAACACGTAACACGTCAGATGTAACTTTATCCTTTCATACTATCACAAGATTATAATCAAAGAAACTTGACAGTTCAAATTTGCTCACCTTGCCTAAAACTAAAGATTTTTCAAAATACAAAAATATAGTGTCATACATGAAGTTGTTTTATCTACCAGTATGTGCTGTTGTAAGGCATTAACTTAAAACAGTTAATGTAGGAAAATACTGCCTAAACTTTTGTCTTTGAAAAAGATTTGTTAATATTACTCATTTATCATCTTTAGCATGTAAAATATTCAACCCAATGAAGAAAACAAAGGAGAAATTCTGGAGTGAAAAAAAAAACAACTTAGAAAAAATCTTAACACTTGAAAAATAATCTTTAACTAAGGAAATAAAAGATTAAATTTGAGGAAATATTATCCAGCAGGTCATTTTTATCACATTTTTGTCTTAACAACTTTATTTTTAGTAATCTGTTGATATAATTGACAAAAGTAAAGATAGAAAAATCATCTTTCACACTTGCTCAAATGAGTTTAAACTGATATATCAACAAGTTTTCATAAAGTTTGTTGCAAAACAGAAGAAGAAAAAATGTTTCACAGAAAGTAAATATCTACCATTCTCGAACATCAACCTTTATGTTTGGCTCAATAGAGCCTAATTATAGGTGAGCTTGAAACATAAAAAATACACAAACATGGTCATGTGACACTTCAGCTAAATACATGATATGACTGCCATGTTAAACATGATATAATACTATAAATAACTCTGAATGTTGTGATCTTTTGGCAGTGTTTTGATTAAAAATATGCATTTCTAGCCAAGAAAATTCCTGCCAGAAATATTGATATCTTGTGTGTATAATGAGATGCAAGTTTGATGCAACCTTTAACACGTAAAATGAAAATGATGAGTCACTTCCCCTGACCATTACATCCTAAACAGAGCTTTTCATTCCTTTTTCATTGGTCTTCAATTGATTAACCAGGGTAAAGAGAAAGACCTTGTCATGTGATCAAATGACTGTATTGCAGCTTTCTTTTCTTGCAGTATAATTCTACAATTGTATGAACAGCTGTCATCCTGATGCCTTTATAGCCCGTACATGTCCTGGTCACAACACTTAATATATAAACCATCAATCTATTACTTCTATAAGTAATCAGCAATTCATTAAAAAGTCAAAATGTTACTATAAATAGACCAAATCATGTGATCCCTTGATGCATAAGAAAGGCCACAATTATTCTATAAATAGCACTTGCCACATGTAATATTCTCCAGCATGTGAGACTTACTGTTTACCATGGACTAACTGCTATATCAATAGAGCGAACCATGGAAACTTCCCTTGCTTTTGCATTTTGAAATGATGACTTTGCAACTGAAGGCTTATGATGATTTTTTCAGCATTGAATCATTTCCTTCGATGTTTTCTGTAACGATGTTCATGGTATAATGAAGGGTGAAGATTTACGAGACGGTCTCGAGGTAGGCAGTTCAGGGGAATGCTGCGTGTTTGTAAGAATTGGACCTGAGACTCAGACACCCACTGATCTGGTATACTGTAATTGGAAAATATTATAATAATAATTATTTTATTAATTGTGTTTGGTTTTATGCCAATTTTAACACATTTTTGGTCAAATTTTGATGGTAAGTTCACATAAACAGCTTTCCTGGTCTGCTTGCCAGTAATTAAATATTTCTACGTAAATATTTCCTTTTAAAACTTGTCATGCTTTAAGTCAAACAGTTTACTAAAATAAAATAAAATTTTTTATCAATTTGCCAAAATTACAACCATACATATTCATAGAATGATATGATTTCATGAGACTGAATTCTGTATATTGCTGAAGCAACAACATACATCTCAGATACATTGCTCACTTACTTGCTTAAATGGAAAATTACAAATGGCATGTACTTACATATTTTGTGGTGTCCATTGAAGGAGGAATTGAGCTTTCCCTGAATCATCCTTCCTTCTAGCAATCACCTGCAAATACATAATAACATCTTTTTAATAAGTCTTATTTGCATAAGATAATGTAATTTTTAACCCCTAACCTGCTTTAGTAATGTAATAAACATGTCTATGAAACTGTCTATAAAATTTATCATTTTGGGAATATCAAGATGAAAACTTGAAGTTGGTCAGCCAACAGTATAGAACCTTGTCAGACTGCATGAACATACAAGCTGGCCTGGCTTTATAATGGTGGAACAAGGCTGTCGTCGATGGTCTGGCCTTGGCCAGACCAATATTTTGGCCAAAAATGGTTAACAAGAGGGCCATGATGGCCCAAAGTCGCTCACCTGTATATAGGCCCCTGGAGCGGGGCCAGTTTTAACACCAGGGCTTTTATTTGAACAAACTTGGTTGTATATGTATGCATGTATATATATATATATATATATATATATATATATATATATATATATATATATATATATATATATATACATACATACATATATATATATATATACATACATACATATATATATATCATATATATATATACATAATATGTATATATATATATATATATATGTATATATATATATATCTATATATATATATATACATATATATATATATATATATATATATATATATATATATATATATATATATATATATATATATTATGTATATATCTAAAAAAAAAAAGTCAAGCTAATGAATGACCCCCGGGGCGGGGCCAATTTTGACCCTAGGGCTTTTATTTGAACAAACTTGGTAGACACTCATTAGAAGATGTTTCATGCTAAATATCTTAGCTCTAGCTCTTTGGGTTCTTTAAAAGAAGATTTTTTAAGTTTTAACTATATGCATATAGGGAAAATCAAAAGACACCCTGGGGCGGGGCCAATTTTTGACCCTAGGGCTTTTATTTGAACAAACTTGGTAAACACTCACTAGAAGATGTTTCATGCTTTATATCTAAACACTAGCTATCTGGGTTTTTTCAAAAGAAGATTTTTAAGTTTTTTGCTATACACAGTCATATAAGGAAAATCAATGACCCCCGGGGCGGGGCCAATTTTGACCCTAGGGCTTTGATTTTGAACAAACTTTGTAGACACTCACTAGAAGATGTTTTCATGCTTAATAGCTAAACTCCAGCTATTTGGGTTTTTTTAAAGAAGATTTTTTAAGTTTTTGCTATACACATATTAGGAAAATCAATGACCCCCGGGGCGGAGCCAATTTTGACCCCAGGGCTTTTATTTGAACAAACTTGGTAGACACCTATTAGAACATGTTTCATGCTAAATATCTTAGCTCTAGCTCTTTGAGTTCTTTAAAAGAAGATTTTTTAAGTTTTTACTATATGCATATAGGGAAAATCAATGACCCCCTGGGGCCGGGCCAATTTTGACCCTAGGGCTTTGATTTGAACAAACTTGGTAGGCACTCAATAGAAGATGTTTCATGCCAAATATCTAAGCTCTAGCTCTTACGGTTTTTTAGAAGAAGATTTTTTAAGTTTTTCTTATTGGTTGCCATGGCAACCAGAGTTTTTAATGGAATTTAAATTTTTGAACAACTTTGAAAGGGGTCCACCTAAGGATCATTTCTGTAAAGTTTGGTTGCAATTGGCCATGTAGTTTAGGAGGAGATGTTGTTTGAAAAGTTTGACGCCATTTTTTGAAGGACGCACGACGGACGCAGAGTGATGACAAAAGCTCACCTTTTCGTGCTCAGGTGAGCTAAAAAAAAACAACACGCATCGCTGATTAGCAATTTGACACTTAACTGGCCCCTTATGCAATGCGCAGTAATATACAAACATGACGCGAAGAAACAACTGGACACTGTTAATTGACCAGGTATATGTAGGGGTCCTACGAAGTCAAGTGTGAGTTAATTGACATGGACGTGGCTTCGGACAGTTCACCGTATGTATATATATATGTGTGTTTATTTAAAATATAACATCACAATTCTTTAAATTAATTACTTCTGTTCACATACAAGTATCTTAATATGAATAGTTTAAGATAGTAAAATACCATGATGTGTTACACAATTCCTTCGGAACCAAATCAACCAAAATCATTTCGTTTCAAAACGAACATTTGGTTAGTACATTTTTTCATCAATGTTATATATAAATTATGATATAAAAAAAAAACACAAAAAAGAAAACAAAAAAACTTCATGAGATTTGCAATATGCATTATGAATATCTTAAACTAGTATGCCTGAATTCTCCGAGAACTTGATAACATTTTATTGGATTTACTTATTAAGGCCGCACAACCTTTGAAGACCGAATACACTAGAAAACTTGGTTTTGTTTGTGATTTCTATGGTAACGATATTAACCGAGACTTCTTAGAGGTGCAGCTTCAGCTGCTACGTTCACATTTTGACAAATCAGAAAATAATACTGTTACTGTACCTGACGCTTTGAAATTTGTGTCAAAACAGTCGGTGCTAGAACGAGCACTGTTCACTGAGGTTGTTTTGTTGTTAAAGATTTTGTTAGTAATGCCTGCTACTTATGTTACCAGTGATAGGACATTCTCGGCGCTCAGAAGAATAAAGACATACCTGAGATCGACAATGTCTTAAGTATGTTTGTACAATCTAAGTTATGGTGTTACATATTCATAAATACAGGACAGATTCACTAAACTTACGTGTAATTGCCGATGAGTTCATTACCTGCGATGTGTTTTTGGAAAATTTACATAAAATGAAACTCTGTGTTTTGTAAGATTATTGTTAACAAAATACAAGTTACTGCTAAACAAAAAGCAATTATTGTTGACTCGCAATGTACAATTCTTCCATCATGGCATCGATTGTTATTTAAGCTTATACAATTGTGAGATTTATGTTAAACAATAATCCACGTACTGTAATACTTTTGTATTTGTTTATTTATAATTATCAGATAAAAATGCATCTAAAGAATATAACAACATCAGTTATTATTTTTCATTTGCCAAAATAATATCAATTACATGTATTCAATTTTTTATGTACACCTGGCCGCCTGTTATGCAAACCTTAAATTTCACCCTTAAAACTTACGACACACTTAAATCTGTAAAAAATTGTTGACATTATTACTATAACATGTACTAGCGACAGGCTGTAAACTGTGCCAAATATACGGGAAAACGCCCGAGAGCATCCTAGAATAAAAAATTTTCCGGGGGAGCATGCCCCCGTAGCCCCCTACATTCGGGCTTAAACCTACCAAATTGGCCGCACCAATCATAAAATCGTGACGACGGGCCTGTGGAAAAGGATTATCACTTTCAGTTCCAGCAAAGTAAGGTTGAAAAAAATGTTTTATAGGGGAAGTTACTCATGCAATAATCCTAAAATAGCTCTTAACAAGGTTGTCTCCCTTGATATATTAATATAAATTTGCAAAATCAAAACTGAATTTCTTTACAAGGAACAATTACAATGTGATTAAATACTCTTCATGGTCAATTAATGTTTCCCTTCAGTGTCATACAATGCTCAGGAAATCCTTGAGAGAATTTAAAACAAGACAAAGGTTTCAACAAGGATACTGGGATTATATCTGTACAAACATTTATCTGCAGGCAAAACTAAAGTCTTTGTTGCAACATTGCTTCCCTCTGTGTGTATTTGCTGAATAGATTTTATAAGACAAAAGAGGTAAGACAGTCCTCTTATAAATGGTCAATATTATTTGTAAGGTTTAACAATTTCAGCTGAGCTGAAAACAAAAATTAATGCAGCAAATGTTTCAGCTTTATTAGTAGGCATATTTCAACATGTTCTTTTTGTTAAAAATTGGTAGATCAATTTCTGATTTATCAATTAATTTCTGATTAATTATGTTTTGACTGCGTAGTAAAAGATCATGAGGTACAACACCTAAATTCATAGCTACATAATGTGTTTATAAAGCAAAGATCTTTATACACTAAAAAAATATGGAAAAGTGAAAATGATAATAAGCTGTTATCAATGAACACCAAGAGAATGTTACATAAATGTAATGTGACAGTTGTTGTCTACTGAACACAGAACTGTTCTATTTGACCACTCACAGAACAATTGAAAGTAAGACAGAGTGGTTATTTACATGTAATTCTTGCATCTCAGGCAGGATTATCTACCGTTTACACCGGTGCTAGAAAACTCTGTCTTACACCCCCCATGTAAGACAAGTCGCATGCTTTAAATGACGTCATTGACGCGCGACTTTTATGAATGAATCGCGTTCTTAGGATGACATCATTTTTCCGTTATGAATGAAGTTGTATGGTCATAAGCTTCTATAAGAAAAAAGTGCGTAATGAGAATATCAGTTTTCATAATTTCTGTTTCGAAATTTTTTTTTACATGTAATATGCAAGAAAAAGAATCAAACACCGGCTGTTGGTACAGACGGGAATATCTAGCTCTCAGGTAACTGTGTAGCGGAAACTCGGCAGAGCCTCGTTACCGCTGTAAACAGTTACCCTCGAGCTAGATATTCCGGTCTGTACCGGCAGCCGGTGTAAGATTCTTATAGTACAGTTTAATTAGACAAACTGTTACTTATACTATTTAATATGACCGAGTTGTTACTTAAATACCAGTAACTGTTGAATATGACAAAGCTGTCACAGGACTTTTGAATGTGATAAAACTGTCATTTACAGATACATGACAAAAACTGTAACTTACAACATTATGGAATGTGACAAAGCTGTCATTTACAGATAAGTAGTGACTGTTGCTGAGTTGAAACTTACTGACTGTCAAAAGTGACTGGAAGAACAGTTGGATAAGACAAATGTCTAACTTACAGAACTGTGGAATATGAAAATGCTGTTACCTACACAACTGTGTCACATGAAAAAGCTGTTATTTATAGAAACTTGTTATATTTGACAAAGCTGTTAACTTTAAAGAACTGTGGGTTGTGACTGAACTGCTACATTATGAACAGTTAAATGTGAAACTTTAAGCTGTTGGGCACACTAAAGAGGAATGTGACAAAGTTATTTCTTACATAAACTTATAATACCTGTCAAAGCTGTTACCTACACAACTGTAATTGTCACTAACATAAACTTGATATATGTGACAAAACTGTTATTTAAAGAACTGAGGAATGTGACAAAGCTATCGTTTAAAGAACTATGGAATGTGACAAAGCTGTCATTCAAAGACATGTAGAATGTGACAAAGCTGTAACTTAACAGTTGAATGTGACTAAGCTGTTATTTAATAACTGTGGATTTTGACAAAACTATCATTTAAAGACCTATGGAATGTGACAAAGCTGTGTAACAACAGTTGAATGTGACAAAGCTGTTACTTAAACAACAGTTGAATGTGACAAAGCTGTGTAACAGTTGAATGTGACAAAGCTGTGGAATGTGACAAATCTGTAATTTACAGAATTTTTGAATGTAAGAACTGTGGAATGTGACAGAGTTGTTACTTACATAACTGCAGAATGTGACAAAGCTGTTACTTAAAGTGCTGTGGAATGTGACAAAGCAGTGTAACAATAGTTGAATGTGATAAAGCTGTTACTTAAACAACAATTAAATGTGACAAAGTTGTGGAATGTGACAAAGCTGTTACTTACAGAACTGTAATATATAACAAAGCTGTTACTTTAAGAACTATCAAATATCACAAAGCTGTTACTTAAAGAACTGTAGAATGTGACAAAACCATTACTTACAGAACTATGGAAAGTCACAAAGCGGTAACTATCATAAACTTGTAATATGTGACAAAGCTGTTACTTACAGAACTGTGGAATGTGACATTAAGCTGTAAAGAACTGTGAGTTGTTACTTACAGAACTGTGGAGTTACATAGCTGTTATTTAAAGAACTGTGACCATGGGACAGAGTTGTGACTTACAGAACTGTGACCATGGGACAGAGTTGTGACTTACAGAACTGTGGAATGTGACAAAGCTGTTACTTACAGAACTGTAGAATGTGACAAAGCTGTTACTTACAGAACTGTGGAATGTGACAGAGCTGTTACTTACAGAACTGTGGAATGTGACAGAGTTGTTACTTACAGAACAGTGGAAAGTGACAAAGCTGTTACTTAAATAACAGTTAAATGTGACAAAGGCTTACTTACAGAACTGTAGAATGTGACAAAGTTGTTAGTTACAGAACTGTAAAATGTGACAAAGCTGTTATTTAAACAGCAGTTGAATGTGACAAAGGTGTTATTTAAAGAACTGTGGAATGTGACAAAGCTGTTATGTAAAGAACTGTGACAATGTGACAGAGTTGTTACTTACAGAACTGTGGAATGTGACATAGCTGTTATTTAAAGAACTATGAAATGTGACAAAGCTGTTACTTACAGAACTGTGGAAAGTGACAAAGCTGTTACTTAAATAACAGTTAAATGTGACAAGGGCTTACTTACAGAACTGTAGAATGTGACAGAGTTGTTACTTACAGAACTGTGGAATGTGACATAGCTGTTATTTAAAGAACTATGAAATGTGACAAAGCTGTTACTTACAGAACTGTGGAATGTAACAGAGTTGTTATTTAAAGAACTATGAAATGTGACAGAGTTGTTACTTACAGAACTGTGACAATGTGACAGAGTTGTTATTTAAAGAACTGTGACAATGTGACAGAGTTGTTACTTACAGAACTGTGGAATGTGACAGAGTTGTTACTGCCATTGAGATCAAGCTGGGTCCTCTCTGTTATAACATTGAGCTGCTGCTGGAGTCTCTCCATTACACCTGTGTCAAAATAATCCTCTGTCTTAACTGAAAATACAACAACAATAAACTGTAATTACTTATATCCTGATTTGATTTCAGCTAAATGGGGATAAACATTTCCTATAAATTTTTTATAATTTCATTTTAATAAGGCTAATCCTGCTGGCGGTGATTAAATCTACCTTTGCAACCAGTGCAGATCAGGATCAATCGGCACATCCAGGTTGTCTGATCTTGGTCTACATTCTTTACTGTTAAGTCAGTTTTACTTTTGAAATGTTTCCTGAACATGATGAATGATTTTGTCCAGATTCAAAGATGGACAAGTCTATTTAAAATATTTAGAACGGTACGGGTGAAATTAACTTTCTGAAAGGGCAGTGATAATGACTTGCACTTGCCACTACATAGTGCCAGGTTAGCTTGTATATGACACAACTAATCTTTGGTAAATATTTATCCCACTTGATGCTTTTTTCTGTAAAACTTAAAATTTACAGTCAAGAATTCAAAGCAAGAATAGTCCAATAGATTACACATAAATTCAGCAGGGTAAAGGTGGAAGAATATGTAACCTACACAGGTGCTATAAACTCATGTAAAATTTCAGGCAAATGGCACTCTGATAGCACAATCAACTTAACTTAAGAAACTTGCTTAATATTTAATAACAAGGAAAGAATTCACCAACACTGGTTATCACTTAGGGATATGTTAATTAAATTCAGATTCCTTAACAATGGGTTTCTCATATGTTCAGCTGCCACTGTATCAGCACTATTAAGGGATAACAAAAAAATGGTGAAATTTAATGAATTCTGAACTGTTGTCAATGAAGGCCTGGGTCATTAAATTTTAATGATCAAGGTCAAATTTCAAAAGGAAGCTTTCATCAACAACTATGTAGTGTCCAAAGACATTATACATAAAGATATTATGATGAGAGAAACACACTGACCAAATGTATGGACAAAATAGTCATCCATGTGGATTAATCAATTTAAGGAAAGCATTATATCTTAAAAGTATTAAATCTTCCCTTGTATTCTTTTCTTCGAAAGAATATCTCTCAAATTATGCTTTTCTATATAATTTGTCTCACTAATCATATAATGGTACATACAGCTTAAATTGTTTACCACAACAACTTTAATGCACTCAGGAACAAAGGAAATCAGAACTTACTACTCATAAGACTGTTGGATTATATTAAGAATGTGACAAAAAGTTCATAGAATAATAAATGTCTGAGTAACAGAGGCAAGAAATGATTTTTAAAGTCTGTAAATACTTGACAGGGGGCAAACATTAGGGTACAATTAATTATATAAATCAATGAGAGTACAGATTAAAGGGCAAATGAGTAGGATCAATAGCTATGATAAAATGAACTAATGAATGAAAAAATCTCACAACCAAAAACTTTTTTTTATCATTTTCTCTACTGTTATTTTCTTTTTTTTCCCCTTCAAATGAAACAAAAAACATGTCCCTAAAAAAAGCAAAGCATAATTCCATACATATTCTGATTTGAATTCCAGAATCTCCGAGCTAAGAAGATTTTTGTGAGAGATAATGGGAGCCATGTTGTGAGCTGAATGAGTTAAACCACTTGAGGCCTAGTCTGCAAACTCATATTTACATTGAGCCTGTTGCAAGGCTAGCTAATTTCATAACGGTAACTCTTTATAATCCAGATGTTCTGCAAGCTGCATCTCAATCCCTAAGGCAGGAAATGATTATTGAAATGTTTCTTGGAAAACTTTCTCTGTTTACATAGCTTATTATTTAGCAAGCTGTTTCCATTGATTTAATATATTTTTTAAAGCTTCACTGTAAATATTAACTGGTATATTATGCACCTTTATGACTCATCATCTTTTTTTTCAACCTTCAACTGCTTCTTTTCAATGTGGCAACATAATACATTTTATAATTGCTAGATCGAAGTTTTAGTGCAGCACATTAATGCTCCAGGGACTTGACAATACCTTGACCCTAAATGTATATCAATGACCTTTGACCTCACATTCTTACTACTATAACTTTGACCCTAAACTTCATGGTTATAAAGATGGACAAAAAGTTTGTCTAAAATGTGAACATTAATACAAGATAGAAGCCTATTAAATTCTGTAAAAGAATCCTCTTTGATATTATTTATTGCAAGTAAATGCACCTTTGTAGACATGTTTGGCATATGGAATTATTGACCTGAAGATAGATGATAGCACAATCTGTATGGAGCACAGGAGCCGGTATATTTGGCAATACAAATGGAAATATATGTCAGATGAATTAGAGCTTGGTATAAAATTAGAGGCATTTGGCCTGCTTTATATATGTATCCTAGAGATTGGAATCAGCTGTTCTTATGTATACATGTCAAGACATGCTGCCATGTTGAAGGTTACTATAGCTTTTGCCATCGGTACAAAACAAGGCCACCCTGAATGCTTGTTCTTGCAGTTTGCACGACCAGGCTCTATATTAATGTAACTCAAATGTTATATTTTGATAATGAAATTCCTTAGCTGGTTAAAGGGATAACATGAAAATTACATACATAATTTACGGGTCCAGTTTTGTGTTGCTAACACTCTGTCGGCCATGTTACTGACAGGAACAGGGCTCTCTAAGTCAAAACTAAGTCACCAGTTTTAATCAAGAGTCCTTAAGATTTTCTCTAATTTATCATTTTCTTCTTCCCCACACCCACCACAATCCCAGAAAAGAAACTAAACAAGCCTGCATTGTACAGAAATGTTTGTAATAATCTGCATGTAGCTTTTGTTGTTGCAAATATTTTTATTTGCTGGAATAAATAAATGCTTGTTTATGTTACTAAGTTAAGAATAGTTAATCCAACAATGTTTCTGTAAATTTAATTCAACAAAGAAATTGCTAGCTGATAAAATCAAAACTTCAGAAATAGTATTATCTATTATTTCAAGGGTCCTGGTCATATTCTTTTTGTGCATGTACTTGGACACAGGTAGATCATTTGTACCTGTATAATCAATTATGGGTACATGTATATAGGAAATTCTGTGTCCAGTACAACCCTGTAACAAAAACTCTGCTACCAATGATCAGGATGTCATGACATCCCTGGCCAGGTGACTATACACAAACAAACATTTACACAATTATGTCTGGCCTGACAGGAAGATATAGATCTGACATATATATAAACAGGAGACATGATAATAGTGCCAGAGATATGTGTACGGCCTGTATTGCTTCACTGCCTCAACAGATTTTCATAACCTGATTTGTTCCCCCCATTCTTGCAAATCTATTTATAAATTGTCTGCAAAGTTTTCATTGAAACAACATTTTCAACTGGCTTAAAAATACACATAAACACAAGGTAACTTAAAATTTAGCATGATAACTTCAATATACCCTGTAGTAACTAGACTCCTTACTATTTCTAAATGGCTATTGGTCAGTGATTGAATATTAATACTACAGATTTATGATATAGCAGTTGTAAGAGAAGTTTAGAGGTATTTAAGGTGTTTGACCATGAGTTTAACTGTTATAAAAATAATTGTGTGGTTGGACAGACAGACGGACAGACACTCAAGCGGGAAGTTTATATTTACTTTATAAACAAGTCATGTGTATTTGAAAATCAATGTATTACTAGTACACAACAAATAGTGTCAGACAAGTATGTAGTTATCCCAGGCATCCATGGTTTGAATCCTATCTGTTAAATCTGTACAATAAAGCAATGAAAAAACTTTCCAAATTAAAAATAACAACAACAACAGCACCCCCCTCCAAAAATAAACAGATCCTTAATGATATTTCATCAGTGGTGTAATACATATACTGTAACATTAGATACATGAAATGTAGAAGTTATTTTTTTTTTCTTCTTCCTAAAAACATGTTTTTCTTAAACCAGTATTATATTTAGCTGGAAAACTCTTCAAAAAAAGATAAATTGAGACTTCAGTTCCTCTGAAAGATATCATTCTGATTAGAACAAAAAAAGAAAGAAAAAAAACGATCCATAATGAAGATATCTGACAATGTATCAATACATTGACCTTTCATATTTACAACTGGGGGGCATCTCAACATTACAATTTTACATTGGAATACAAAAGCGAAATATTAAACCGTCATTAAGGATTCATTTACCTATCTTTAAAACTATTTCATAAATATACTTATTCATTGTATTTGTAAATATACACCAAAATGATAATAGCGTGAAATTACAGAGAGAGAAAAAGTAATTTTACAATTATGTAAAATTAATACGCAATGAAATAGCTGCAAATTGGACTTGAATAGACAAAAAAGTCAATACATTGTAAATATGATATTTTGTACGAAACTAAATTCCTTTGTTGCATATTTTTATAACTAATGAAGTCAACATGGGTAATTGTGGGTTTGTGGTTAAAGTGTTTTGTATATATCTTACAGCAAATACATTTGTTTTGAAAATATAGGTTCACCACATCGCAGCTGCTGTTAATGTGTAAAAAACAGAAAATTTAATATACTTGTTCTTTATTTTATAGATTTGAACTTGTTTCTTTATCATAATGTTATTATAAATCATACAAATGTTTGTTGATAAGTTAAATCAGGCATAAAGCCAGTTTTGTGTACATTTCTTCTCCTTTATCTCTCTCGCAAGATTTTCTAATTAATACACCAATGATATAAATACTCTACTAAAATGTGGATGAATGAGTTTTGCACTAAAATCTACCCCCACCATCCAACAAGTCACCATGCAACCCTTTACTCCACCAGAGTTAAAGACAATTTGTTATCTTGTTTTTTATTTGGTAGAACCCCCAAAAATTGTGTCAAGTGTAGGCTAACAATATCGGGACTTTAATTTCAATGCTATCAATTTATATCTAAATGTTGCTGCAATATTTGAAATATGCACTTAACTGACACACTCGCGGTTTAATTTTAATTCCGCATTCTATACATGTTATCTAATTCTCACCATCATTAATTTAAACAGCATTTGCAGCATCTATAGGAATTTAACCTCAACAAAC